GAGCATGCACACACACACTTACAGTATGCTACATGTACTATGAGCATTTGTATACCTGTGTGCGAGCTCTGGCTGCCTATAGCAATTTTAAAATTGCATTTGTCGATCTTGTGAAGTGCTCAAATACATATGTATGTATGTATGTATATACATTTGATTGTGTGTACGCATGGGAGGCGCTGCTCACAATTATGGGATATAACTTGTAGAAGCATTTGTATGCCTGTGTGTGGCTTGCGTGTGTGTATGCCTGGGAGATGAACATTTTCGTGTGCCTCCCTCAACTTAGAATGGTGTGAACGATTTTGGGTTTTAATTGAAAAGGTGTGCTTATGTTTAAGTACCTGATTTCATTCAATGGTCGTGGGTTTGCCTATCAGAATAAATGTTTTTTAAAAATGGTACCTGATTAATCCCAGTGGGCAAAATGGGATGTGTTTTTTGAACCCTTGCACTTGTGCATACATATGCAGGTCAATTTGACACCTTTCTAAAAAGATGAATACGTAAACAGGTAAAATTAACCCGTTTTACAAAAATTGCATACCAAAATTGCCCAAATTGACCCTTTTTTAAAAAGAGGCATCCGTTAGATGCCACGAACATTGAAATAAAATCATCTACTTAAATTTAAGGGCGCCTCTTCAATTAAACCCCAAAATCGTTCACACAATTCTAAGTTGTCGTAGGCGCACGTCAATGTCCATGTCGCACACACACATAAACATACACACACGCACATACATATAAAGGCACTAAAATGCTTCTACAATGATTACCCCATCATTTGTGATTGCGGCCCATCGCCCCTGCGTACACACAATCAAACATATGTATGCAATTGTGAGCACTTCACAAGATCGACCAAATGCAAAAGCTGGAATTTCAAATTGCTACAGCCAGCAAGGGCTTTGCACACAGGCATACAAATGCTCATAGTACATGTAGCATACTGTAAGTGTGTGTGTGTACATGCTCGTCGCGAAAACATTTCCAACGCTTTCATACCCTTCCCAAAAATAACAACGAAAACGCATGGCAAACGGCTTGAAGAGTTCGGAATACTCTTCACTCAGAAGAGAAGACATGGGTTCTTGCTGCGAAGAAATTTCAATTTTCGTGAGCTGCTGCATGTGCTCACATGCATAAATACATATACACATTTAAGTGAGCAGAGAGCATCGAGAGAGAGAGAGCAAGGGAAACATTGAGCATAGAGGGATCTTTTGTTCAAAAGTTGACCATCTCGGTCGAGCGCATGAAGCGAAATGGGTGTGCCTACGTATATTTTAGTAACCCAAACCTAAAAGTGAGGAGCCGAGCGAATACGAAGTTGTCTGGGGTGCTAACGCTCAAAAAAAAAAATGTGCAAAACGCTTTACACTACGTGTCCGGTGCGTGTTCTATGGATAGTGGTGTAACACTTTACGCTATCTTGACTAAGAAATGTATGCCAAATATTAAAAAACATACTACCAAAACTTTAGTATTTTTTAATTTTCACCAGTTTAGTACCAAAAGCACATAAATACAACCAGTGTTCATGTTGTAATGCTGGTGTGAGGGATTCAAGTAACAAAAAAAATTTTTCTCGTCTATTTGTGTATAGCTTATATATATCTAGAGAAATCAAATGGAATACTCAAATATGTTGCGTTCAATGGATTCTGAACATTTATAAACTGAAGTGTTTAAGGTCATAAAGATATTGTTTCAAATAATAAAACATAACGTCGTCATTCTGGGTATTTTCGACGCCATATTTATATATGAGTATTCCTGAATACGAAGGTCATTGCAAACACTTTCGTACATGAAACTCGTTATACATTGATAATATATTGAAGTGTTTACTATATATACATATATATTAACATATGCTTATGCGGAAAAATCTGATGCATGAATCTACAAATGCATAGTTAAAAGGAAAACACAAATAAATCCATATGTGTGTACTTTAATACAAAGTTATACAACAAAAAGTAATTAAATAATCAAATACAAATAGATAATAAAAGAAAAGAAAAAGCGATATAGTATTCTGCAGCACCGAATAGTGCCAGAGATAAAAAATTTAATTGAGAATTGGCTAACTGTAATGTTATTGAAACAGTGCAGACTTCAGCATATTTACAAAGTCGAGAAAAAAGTGGCAGTAAAAAAGAGAATCGCAGTCCATCCGGATACCATGTTCAGAAATTGTACAATTTGTCAAACATTTACATTCTGGGCAATGAACGCATCAAGAGCAAACCAACCGAGAAACAACAAGACGCCGATAGATTCAAAAAGACCGCAAAGCGCCTAAGGATCTCCCGTAAAATCAGTTTTGATTATTGGTCAGATTTGGATAAGTTACAATTATCGAATCAAATAAAGATTCCCACTAGATAGGCAAGACACGTCGCACGAAATTGCTCTTATAGAGACAACCTCGACGGTGAACAGATTCTGGGAACTGGTGGAAGAAAGATGAAGCTATTAGAGAGCTCCCGATTCGAAGCAATAAATAATGCGCTTTCGATACAAACTGGCGGAATCACAATTTTCGGACGAATAGAAAGCTATTCCTGGTATGAAATCTCAGTTACATTTATTTTGAGCACTTAGTATGTATAAGCAAAGAATAGTTGTAATGAACGTTGACTTTCGATTGAAAATATGTACATTCACTGATTCATATCATGTAAATTCATATATATTAATAACCATACAAGCTTTTTTATGACAAGAAATATGTATGTTTTTTTTATTTCAAGCAAAATGGTTGCAGCTGAGAAGGTATTATACAAACGATTTACAGCTGAGACGCACGGGCATGATTTGCAAGCGCTGTCGCCTCCGCAAACTTTGTCGGATCTTTCACCAAACTTTCATCGCAATAACAGTCAATCAGGGGATGAAGGCGTAATCTTATGTGACACAATCTCTCGAAAAACTTTATTTTACTTGATTGCAACTTTAAATGCGTCCTTTGAGCCCGATTATGATTTTTCAGACGCAAAGGTAAGGACAAAATACCTGTATACAAAATAAAACATGAACCCTAAGTTAACTCGCTTTATGTTTTTAGTCTCATGAATTTAGTAAGGAACCTTCCTTGCCATGGGTTATGAATTCGGTTCATTCAAATTTATCAGCTTTAGCTGGGGACCAGTACCAGGTTTTGCGCCAACCGTTGTGGTCAGCCGTAGATGATGAAATTAATTTATCGGAATGCGATATATATAGCTATAATCCGGACTTAAGCTCAGATCCGTTTGGAGAACCTGGTTGTTTATGGTCTTTCAATTATTTCTTCTACAACAAGAAGTTGAAGCGCATTGTATTCTTTACTAGTCGCGCCGTAAAGTATGATCTACACTGAATTAAAAAAAACTTTCTATATATATTGTTAAACTTTCAGTTCACTCTATGCTGGAGAAACATCCGATTTTTCTATGGAAGAAGATCTATACTAACGAGTTCTTAGCCTTCGATTTTATTTTCACAATGATCATTTTGGCATATAAGTACGAGAAGGGAAATGGATGGAATTGTGTACTTCAGTGTCAGACATGCTATGGATGCAAACTGATCTTTATACGCATCACGAACATGATTATATCTAAGAACAATAATATTTAATCAAGTACTTTATTCAAAACAATATTAATATGCGTTCTTTGAAAATAAACCTAAGTTTCCATACATTTATCGTTTTGTAAATGCTGATCTCTACCATTTCAATA